AAAGTGTTCACAACTTGTTTACTACTTCAGTTTTACAGGAAGTCCACAGAAACATATAACGGGCGTTTGGCTCGCAGATTATGTTTATTCTCTATCAGGGAAATCCCAGGTCAGGATCAATTAAGAATTGAGTGAAGAAAGGAGATCCTAAATGAAAGTTCTATGACCTCAAGAATATAACAAGAGGTCGAATTTCAAACATTTTATTCAAGTATACTCATTTCATTTAGTAGGTGCCAATCTTCTCCAACTTGATAGCCCCATTATGCTTTGTTGCCCAAACTAGAAATATCACAGATAAATAAACCAGGTAAGGGGCCCACAGAATTTGAAAATTTTACCTTCTGTTTTATACTATGAAGGTAGTATTACCATCACGTTCAACAATTAAAATGGGGTTAAAAGATTTCAATGATAACAAAACAGAAGATGACTCACAGATCCACTGTATAGCACCGAGGAATACACTTAATATGACCTTTTTTATCCAAATCCTTGATTCATAAAGTTGTAAACCATTATCCAAACATGAGAAAATTAAAATTGTATATTCTCACTTGTGCCAATATGCATAAACTAGCAAGCTAATTGATATATTTAAGTTTTCCAGATAAGATGTGTCTTCACACATCAATGAAATTGGGAAATGCATATATAAAAATGAAAAGCCAAATTGGGAAATGGGGTTTTTCAGCATAAAGATTCCACAAAAACTCATGAAACAAACAATAACAATTATTATGAAAGAAAAAAGATAACTTTTGCATTTCATATATTTGGCTTGTTTGTATTATTTACCGGGGTGTCCAGACAGCAGCAAAAGACTATGAGATGTACGCAAAAATAAAACTGAACTAATAATTTCCTGTTATTTCATCAATATTCATCTTTAAAATGAATAGGATGTAGAAGTCGCAAATAAAGTAGAACATCGTAAAAAATTGCAGTTCGTGTTACCAACCTGTCTCTCCGAGTATTTCCTTCTGAATGTTCGACGGGTTGTGACCGGGGCTTCAAATTCAATTTTGGACGCTCAATTCCATCCTTCCCGCTCTCAGAGCCAGCTGAACTAGGTTTCACAGAATTTGAATTTCCATACATTTCATTCACATTTTCAGCAGAAACAGCATCGGGAATCATCTGGTATTCCAATATTCAACCGTATAACAAGGATCAGACAATGAACTGTAAAATCTGAAGGAAACTGAATGGAATCATAAATGAATTGTTAGTACCTGCGTATGATCCACAATGTTGGGCTCCGAACCTGCCAATGGCTTTGTTCTTGGAAGTAATTTCAACTTTGGTCGTTCTGATACTAATGAACTCACGGGATGATGCAAATCAGATCCACGTCCACCAGCCATTTGATTAGGACCAGAATTCTGAATTGTAGCAGCATCCACTTTTAAAGATCTCTCTTTTACGTGATATTTCGGGATTACAACCCTATCGTGCTCAGATAAATCTTGTCTATGTACCTCAGTTCCATCATCTATGCCAAGTTCTCTATCTGCAAGCTTAGCTAATGAAGCGTCGCGATAATCCCTACCATACGATGCATCCACCCTGTCAAAGGAACCACCATAACCCTTTGACTGCATTCTAACATCTGGTTCAGAAGATGCGACAGCGATCACATCAGTTTGATAATGGACGGACTGTTTTGACTGCCACCTCCCTGAAGATACCTTTTCAAGCGCACTAGCATGAGCAAGTTTTGAGACAGCACTCGGTCCATCCCACGTAGAATGTGAATGTTCGTTAACCCCGGAAACCACCTCCTTCCTTGCTTGCCACGCATTTGGATGAACCCCAGAATAAACCATCCCGCTGCCTCCACCTGAATTCTGAGAAGTAACCCCTGAGTGGAGCCCCTCACCGACTCTCCCTGCGTATGAATTTACCGCAGCAGGAGTTGGAAACTGCGACATCGGAGCCAACCTCTGCCTCCCACTTGGTTCATATTCAGGCTTCAGCTCTGTACGGCTCGGCAGGACCCTAATGCTTTCATCACTGATGGTTCGACGTGGGGGAGTTATACCGCCAAGGGGTTTCCTTTCATCCTCGTCGAAATTCCGGCCAATGTGTGCAGCAGGAGCGAGAAATGGAGTTTTGTCATCAAAATGCCTGGTTGCCGGAGATGAATGCGGCCTGGACCGGTGGTCCGACCTGTTCATGGGGTTCCCCCACGATGTAGGGCGATCGAAACTAGTCCGATCTGAAGGTCTAACCGTTCTTCAAAAAAGAGAAGAAAATAAATAAATTAGCCAATTGCACATGCAGATCTAGTTTCGCATCAATAAATCGAAAAAAACGTGGTAAATTATTGCATGAACAGGGGGATCAAGGAGGTTATATAACTCGGATCTAGCTCTTCAAATCAAATTCGCATAGAAAAGTAAAAACACAGTCTATACCACAAAATCGAATGATTACCAGCTCTGCATAAAAAATAAAATAAAAAATAAAAAGTAATAACGGGTTGAAAACCGATGAAACAAAAATAAATTTGGAGGTTGATGGAGACATACACCCCAGGAGCAGATGGAAGAGGAAGATCAGTGGGGATAGAGCCGCCGTGGAAGTCCTTGAGCGTCATAGTATTGCCACTCACTTTCTTCTTCGACATGGTTCCGAATCGAACCCTAATTTCTTCTCGTTTTCTTCCTGTTGTCCTCAGAGATTTAAGTAGCAGAAATAACGGAGAAGAAAGAAAAGAGGAGAAGAGAAACCCCGCAAATCGCTAGAGATGAATGGGTGTTATTGCACTAATTTTGCGTATCCCTCTGGTGATTGAACTGCAGGCAGGGCTTCCTTCTTCTCTTCTGACTGCTCGCTCGCGGACCAGAGAGGATCGCCTTCTTCTCTCTCTTGTCGTACGATTGGTCAAGTTCTTGTGACTCGCCGCCTCATACTCACTTTTGGACCGCCCGATGTTACAATCGGCCCATCACTTATCTTATATACCCACCCCACGGCCCAACTTTCTGTGGCTCAGATTCTTGCCCAAGGCCCAAACATTCGAACAAAAATTGCCCCATCAAAATAAATCATTTCAGAATTCTCCATTTCGTTATATTCAAATTCAAATTCAAGGGTATAAATGTAATTACAATAAAGCCTATCAAGTTAGTTTATGAAAATTCATTCTCGTTACCAACTATGAGTTAAATTATTGAGTTAGACGTCTCGAATTGGCAATAAAGATATATTATAACTCCTATCAAGATCGAAAGTTTAAATCTCTATACCCATATCTGTTGCATTAGAAAAAACTATTGAGTTCTATTTCTTTTTTGAATGGGTATTAAGTTATTGATATACTTTTAAAAAATGAGTATACGTGTCGGGGTAATTAACTTAGCTTTCTTTTTAAGTCAAATTATAGTATTAGTCTTGGAGTAGGGTTGAGTTCTTATAATATTAAAATTATCATTATGTTATCTTCCATTTTAATAAAGCTTACCAGACATCTATGATAATAGTTATAAATAACAGAAATGGTTGTAGCGGTTTAATGGGTTAAATAGTTGAAAAAATGTGAATATATATCATAACATTGCTTATATTGAAAGGTAAAAAGATAATAATAACAATAAGAATAATAATACAGCTAAACTTGGAGGGTTTGAGCCAACCAAAAACGAATGTTAATAGTTATGAACCTATTTGATAACGTTACTGTTTTTTTTTCTCGTTCAATTTTATTAAGAAATCTAAGCATTGGACAATTATATATATATATTTCTTGGAGGTATAGAAATTTTGGAAACAACTTGTTTTTGCTTTTTACTCCCGTTTCGAATTTATGCCAAAACATAAATAAAAATATAATTCTATCCTTATTAAATCTATAAATGTTAGGGTCATGTAATTCTATTTTTCTTTATTAAAAATGAAAAAATATAAACGATAAACTGGAACATTTATGAAACGAGTCCTATGTTCCCCATCTATGAACAAATATAAACTATATGGGGATTGCGAAGAAATACCTCCAAGCGCACTTATTTAAAAATATTTTCTTATTATCCCAGCTTCTTTTTCCAAGAATATCCACACACAATTTCAATCAAATGGTGATCTATAATTTTATTGAAATTAAGTATTAAAATGGTAACATCATTCCAATATGTCATTTTATACAACCAGTGGAGCCCTTTCATTTATTAAAGAAAAGCGAAGTACAGTTTAGAGTTCTGAATCCAAAAATAAAATAAAATAAAAAGATGCATTGCAGTCAAGAGCATCAAAACACACTGCAACAGTGTTGAAGTTGACATACAGAACCCAACACAAATCTGTGGAGTTGAAACAGCAGCTTTAAATCTGAAAGTAGGAGGAACCAAGAATAGAAGAGTGATTTTTACCCAGGTTGCGGCCCCGGAGGCACTCCAGATCCATGACTTGAGAGTGATCCACAAAGAGATTCACCTAAATACAGAGCATACAAGAATCCGTTGTCACTCATTGATTAAAGGATACCAAATGCAACGGTAGGAAGATAATTTTTTTGTACCTTCGGGCCGTATTGTTTGATAAACCACTCCGAGGTTCTGGGATTCGATGCTTCAAACATTGTTTTCTCTAGACCAAGACGTCCGATGATCTTGGCAATGATGTCTGCTCGGAGAGTCTCGGCGTGTTTACTGACATCATCTGCATCAATCATTATCATGTCCGCCCCAGCTTCTAGGCATCTCTCAGCCTTTCTGATCAAAAGATCAACATCTTCTACAAGTTCTGCAAGTTATAGTGATAAAGAGCTCAATGTTTACAAGTAATAACCATAGAGATCATTCGTTTTCAGTGAAAGTTAAACTAGTTGAACTACCTTTTGAGGTTCAGAGAGTCTATCAACATCAACAAAGAGACTATGTTTTAAGCAAGTGATCTTCATTGCATCTATGGCACCGTGTTCACCTCTATTTTCAATTTCAGTAATCAAAACAAGACCATGGATTTGACATTCTTCGTATTCATTATCAATATATTTAAGGTTATGATCCGGAGTCAATTTTATGATTGAATGTAAAAGAACAATACAACTAGAGCAATAGTTTTGAACCTCAGTTCCATCCGTAATAAATTGAAAGCATAGATAGAATCACCATATCAGTAGTAATGCAGTAGGATCAGAGACAACTTGATGAAAACCATGAAAAACAATTGGAAGCCCTTCTTTGTAAGTCATCATTATCAAACTCACCTAATGAAACTAGAAGTGCAGATTGCACAACAGGGCAGGCCACAAAAGAAAGACAAGATGGCTAATCATTTTTTCATGCCATTAGGTGATTAAACTTACTTTTACAGCCAAAATTTTGAAGATTGAATAGGTGAATGTGTAGGTCTCGTTGTGTTCAATGTATTTTCTTTTTTAAGTATGTTTTGCATTGGAGTGATCATCTTGCAAATGACAAATTTAGAAAAATCAAGATGTTTACCCGACCGGTTTTTTGAAATCCAACAATTAGTCCTAGAGCATACCAGAAGATCGAGGTCTTGGAACAATATAAGCTCCAAATGCTGGATTGCCACTGATGGGGATGTCAGACTTATTGAACTTCACTGCAAATTGAGGCTTAGCCCTAAGGCCACCGTTCTTTATCAAACGCACGTATCGCAGAATAGTTTCTTCAGGAACTTCAAGCGATCCCACATTGAGCTCGACAGTGTCAAATCCCAAGAGCTTACATTCCTAGAGACATCATACTCCTACTTATCACTCCAGCTTCTATCATAGAATAAAAACGACATGATTATGGCATTCCTCTTATTCTCACCTCCACATACTCATTGAAACCCGATGGACCTTTGCGAAGCAAGTGCTCCGCCCAGTCACCTGTACTGACATAGATGTCGTGTTTATGAGCCATTTCAGTCACCTTTTTAACAAAATCCCTCGACAACAGGCTGTGGGAACCGCCGGAGAACTTTATCCCATCGACGAATTGACCCATGGACTCAAAAATGTCCTGCAGAACACCAATTGCCGCAATCATATTACAAAACACGTCGATCAATATGTCGAAATCATTTCAGAACCGCCTATCGAAAACCCATAACACAAATTGACATATCGATGCTAAAATCTTTGTTCGTTCGAGTTTAAGTCCAACCCTAAAGCGTGGAATGATAGGAAATGAAAAAGAAGGTACCAACCTGAATAACATTTTGGCTGGAGAGAGTGTAATGGGGGCCTCTCATCTCGGTTACTCCAAATCGCCGAGGCTTCTCTGGTCGATCTTCGTCCTCGTCGAAGCTTTTCCACCAATAAGCTGACATGTTCTCCAATGCAGTGATCAATGGAGGCTGAATCAGAATCAAAGACTCGGAGAATTCCACCCTTCGAGTACTGATTGCCGCTTCGCAGCTTCCCTCTGAAAAATTCGGACATTTTTAGACTTTTTCCATCTGGCTCCCGACTGGAATGTTTCAGGAACTTTGAGTTCTTTCTAGAAATATTTTCTTCTTTTCCTTTACTGCCCCTCCATCGTCCAACTTCACACGTGTCTTGAGTTATCGTTAAATAATTATTCCCTAACCAATTTTATAATAGAAATATAAGATAAAAATAAAATTTTCAATATATAATATATAAAAATAAATATAACAAAAACACCAAACAATAATTAAAATTTTCAAATTTTGTTTGAATAATAAAAAAAAGCATCCTTATGTTAAATATTATGAATGGGAGATTTGAACCTCTAAATTGAATATATATATTAAGTCTTGCTCGATTTAGCCTCTACTTTTTTAAAGTAGTATTAATTTGCTAGATATTTGAATTTTATAATAATTTGGAATTTTACAAAATTTAATAAATAATACACTCATTATTTTATTTAACAAAAATATACGAAATCATTTCTTGAAGATGGGATCCTTCACTATTATTTATTGAATTGAAAAAAACGTTCATAATTTAAATCCACTTATTCAAATTCTTTTTTTTTTTTAAGGAAAACTTATTCAAATTCTTAAACTTCAAATAATTATTTGTACTAAGAAAATTTTAAAATAATTATATCAATTATTTAATTGAATTAATCTAATCACGTAAAGTATAATTAATTCTTAACTTATTTAAATGAAGTCAGTCATAAATTTTACATTTTCTGATTTCTGATTTCTCTCGGATTTCTTTTCGGAGCTCTGGTTTTTCAGGACATGAAAAGAAGAAGATGCTTACGGTTACAATCTGGCGCCGCCGATTTAAAAGAATCCGGAAACGTTTGAAAATTTCCTCGGATTCTCTGCGTTTCTTGACGACCATGAAAAGCATCTGCATCAAAATAAAAAGAACGAATAAGGAGAACTGTAGAAAGGAAAGAAGCTTTCCTGTAAAATTCGTCATGGTAGATGATTCCTTTCATATATGTATGTAATGTTGCAAGCCTGGTTTTCCTTTATCCCATCTTCCCTCCCTCCAATTCAGAGCTCCCAAACCTTTTTCTCTCAATTCCAAATCTTGGGGAGAGCTCTGAATCTGCAGCAGAAATGGCGCAAAACTATGGCTTTCTGGTCTGTATCTTGGTCATGGTAATGGACGCTGTTGCTGGGATACTTGGAATTCGAGCGGAAAAGGCTCAGAATCGGGTATTGCTGAAGTAAAGTGTAAAGAAATCGTCATCTATGGCTTGCTGAATACGCTTATCTTAATATGCATATTAACTGTTCGACAGATTTCCTCTTCCAGGTGGTACTACAATCGGTGAGCGTATGGGTGTATGAATGCAGCAGAAAGCCGAGAGATGATGCTTTTAGCCAGGGACTGGCCGGTACAATTCTGCTTGGCCTTGCTCATGCCATTGCTAAAGTACTTGGTAGGTGCATTTGCATTCGGTCTAAGCAACATTTTCAAGAATCATCTGCTAACAAGCGATTGGGATTGCACTTCATGATTCTCTCATGGTAAGTTTCTGCAACACTCAACTCAATCAATCCTCTCGTAGCCTTTCGAGCATTGTCATTTCAGATTTAGCGAAAAATAGTTTTTTTCTAGTTTAAGCCTGCTGAGTAATTCAATTCAGTTTTAAGTAATCTTGAGTGATCTTTGAAATAAAACCCAAAATTGATGGAGGTGATTTTGGGTGAAAAATTAGGATTACATTGGCTATTGGGTTCTCAATGTTGATGGCGGGGACGGTGGACAATTCCAACTGGAAGAACTCTTGCGAGATATCAAGCCGTGGCCTATTCTTGGCAGGTGGGATTGTGTGTTTCTTTCATGGGCTCTGTACTGTCGCTTATTATGTTTCTGCAACAGCAGCTAAGAGAGAAGAACAGAGGAAACGCAATGAAAATGTTTCTTCTCCACATGTTTAACCCAGCTGACAGCCGCTGCCTGTAATGACAATATTAGTCTCTAATTTATTAGTTATTTAAAGAAATTTTGAGTCCACAGCTTAGTTCACATTGAAAACATCTCTATTGTTTTCTTCTCTCACACCAACGTAGTAACACTAAGTACGCCTTTTCCATTATTCTTTTTGGGTTTGGAACTTCTGTTTAGTACAGAATCCGTAGAGAATGCATTGGTTAAATGTGCACCGAATCACGTTCAAACCCAATTGGTAGAGAACATAAAACATATGAAGTCTTAAAATGCTTGCGGCAAGAACTTTTTGTTCTGTATCTGATTATGCATTGGAGAGTGCTTAAAGAAGACTGAAATAGTATAAGATAATCTCACAATTCCACCCACAGGAAGATTGGGCGAGACTAGTAAACCCAGTTAACGATTGAGAAATCATTACACAATTGGTAATGGACTAGAGACAATTTCACCATGATCTATAGATCCAAGTGAATTTCTTCTTAGTTTGATTGTTATGATCATGCTTTGGGTTTATTTCTTAGACTAAGCATCTAATTGTGGCTTCAACTTAGGAAAATATATTTTCTAACTATCACTGCATTGGTATTAATGTATTCCAAATGTAACTAGTCCATATGGTAGGGCAACTGACCAAAATAAGCAATGCAATAAGAAGTTGAAAAGAGATGAGTTGAGGGTTGAAACCAAATTTCCGTTGATTATAACATTGGTTCAAACTGGAGGGTCTCGCATATGATCTTCACAAATAATCTTACATCACAGTAACAGAAAACGCTCCTCCTTCTAACCGAGCTTGGCCAGGACATCGTTGAGGGTAGACACGGTCTGAGCATAATACTTCTCTGCTTCTGAGCTGCTCTTAATCTTTGCTGCATAGTCCAACTGCAAGTTTCCAATTGACCACAGAAAAAGCAAACGTCAGGAACAAGAACAGTAGATAACACTCACCTTGTTGATGAAATAACACTCACCTTGTTGATGTCTTGGAAGAGCTTTCCCGTGAGGCTCTTAAGTTCTTCCTTCTCTCCCTTGGGCTTGGCAGAAATGATTGTCTTGAGATCATACCGGAGATACCCCGCCCTGAGACGGAGGTCGTCTCGAACGAACGGCCAAGCCTTCTTGTCTATCGACCCCTTTACATTAATGATGTCCTTGGCTGACTCCTTCGCCCTTGCCACCGCCAACTCTGGACTTTGTGGCTGCAGAAAGAACCTGTCTTTCAGTGGCAGGTCCAGGTCTCTTGGCTCATCCGAGTTAAGAGTCCCAGCTGCCAAATTCATCATTCCAATCATCAAATCAAGAACAGAAATAAGATAGATAGATATAAGTATTTGAATTGAATTCAATATATAATATGGTCACTTACGGAGTCCGCCGGAAGGAGGGGGCGGGGGGCCGACCTTGATGGGCTTAGCTTCAGCAAGAACGGCTTGAACAAAAGAGCCGGAGGCGAGACCGGCGGCGACCAGGCAGAGAACGGCCCTACGGCTGGTCTCTGGCTCTGCAGCCACTTGCTGGGCCCTGATACTCAACCCAGAGCGGGGGACGGAGGCCCTGCTGCTGCCGGCTACACTCAAGCGGCTACAGCCACTGATTTGAAGGCTACCCTCCAACACAGCCTGAGAGCAACCACACAGCCCTGCCATTGATGCCATAGCTACGATTTTTGCAATCGGTTTTCCAAGTTAAAGGCTTTTTCTAGTGGGAAATCGAGAATTATATTATTGCTGCAGAGTTTATGCTGAGATCTCTATTTGTTTATGTGACGCAGAGGGACGGGGGCGCCCACCTTATCTCCCCATTTTCTACTTGGATAACTTGGATATGGTTTCAACCAATTGCATTTCAACACGTGTTAAGTGATTCTTCTTCATTGGACAAGTTGGATAGGTTCCAGCGTGGGCTACTAGAAGTTCGCCACGTGGAGACGTTGCGAGATCATGATATTTCTAACCTCCCGTAGTTGTCTCCGGTTTCATCTCCTCGGTGTGTTACTATGGCCACCCATACATGATTGATTTCCAAACTAATCTTATTGTTTTTTAGATACATTTCTGAATTAGTCCCAACAAAGTAGTAATTAATTTAAACTTTTTCAATTTTAATCACTAATTGTAATAAAGTGTCGCTCTCTATAATTGGACAATAGATCTTCTTTTATTTAGAATATTACATCATACATGCATGGTAGAAATTTGAAAAGTACTTTATAGTGTAGGGAGAAATGATTTAACCAATTAATTACTTTGGTTGATAATTTAAAGAGACACTATTGCTATCATAGATTGATATTTTTTTAATCAAACTTATTGTGCTAAATTACAAAATTGTTACTTGCAATTTGATCATAATTTTAATTTGGTTTTTATAATTTTAAGTGGCAATTTAGTCTTTATGAACTCGGTTTAGCTTTAATTTAGTCCAAATGATTTTAAAAGTTTCAATTTAATTCTTATGACTTAGCAAGACTTCATAAATCATGGACTAAATTAACAAAAAATATATATATTGGCTAAGCAAAAAAACGGGAGGAGATATATAAAAATTTAAAGTGAGTAAATTACAATTTTGAACAACGCGTTGGATTTTTAATCAAACCATAAAGATTAAAATTGAAACTTTTAATATCACTGGTATTTTAGTACGTGCTTACATTCAATTTTCATTCCAAATTATATAGATGTGGGAGTATGTAGGAATGTAAAAACTTACTTTCATGTAACTCAAAAACTATATATAAATTAAATAAGATTTTTGTAGTTTTAATCTAAAATTTCCCCTTTAATTCTTATAATTAAAAGATTATACCTAAAAAGTTACCATTCAAAAATTTTCTCCTCCTGTGAAAATTTATGATTCCATCTTTGCGGACAATAAAAGAGTAAAGGCCTTGGTTATTTTTCATTTAACATTTACGGAGGAAAGGACCAATTTTCTCCTCCTGTGAAAATTTATGATTCCATCTTTGCGGACAATAAAAGAGTAAAGGCCTTGGTTATTTTTCATTTAACATTTACGGAGGAAAGGACCTCAGACCTTAAAATAAAGAAAATATAAGAAAGTTGCAGCACGAAAAGAAAGTAGTAGGATCACTCGTCTAGGAGGTCGGATTAAGCCACTTTGGCCAAGAGATCATCATCCACGGGGGCCACAAGGACGAGCTCGTCCAACTTCTTCACCCCGGCATAGACGACTTCTTCAAAGGCTACAGTGCCATCAGGGGAGATCGTCCACGACTTAACATAGGCGTGCTTGAGCTGGAATGACAACGGGGCGGGGCGGGACCGGCAGGGCCATCCCCATCCTCGCCCCCGAAAATTTGGGGGCGAGGACTCCCCGATCAAGAACCGCCCCCATTATAAATTATTTTTTTTATTTTTTTAATTAATTTTTGTTATTACTAGGATTAAAAGTGAACAAAAATGCTAAATGAGATATAATCTAGAGTTTTTTAAATAAAAATTTATAAAATTAATATATATTAATATTATTATATAAAAAATAGAAAAAATAATAAAATATTAAACGGGGAGGGGTCGGAGATGAGGACGGGACGATGAATCTTCCCCCGTTAGGGACCCTGATTGGGATCCCCTGTCAAACCGGGATTCCACGATTCGATCGGGTTGGATACCTGCGGGGATGGGATCCCGCGGGTATTTTTACCATACCTGTGCTTGAGGGAGATAATGAAGTAATAGATATGCACCTAATTAAAAAATATATAGATACCTCTCACCAATGCTTAAATGGGATGATATTCAACTACATCAAATTTATAAATAAAAAAATAAAAAATCTAGAGAGAAAGAAGGGTAAAGAAAAAAAAAAGGAAGTAAAAAATATTCGTTTTATAGTGGTAGGAAATGAAAGAATTATAAATTTTATTAGGTTCTAAAACCTCTTGTATTAACAAAATAAATATAATTAAGAGTAATAATTATTGAGTTAATTTTGGTAAGTTAAAACAAAAACTTCCATATTACATTTTATTATTAATACAATTTAATAGTTATTGAAAATTGATTGCGACTCACATGCTCTATAAATTTAACAAAATTTAAAATTTGTTAGAGAAACAAAATTGTCTAAAAATAATTTTCAAAATAAAATTTTGATTAAAATTATAATTTAAAAAGTCATGTATTTAAAAACTAAATTTTTATATATTTAAAAGATTGAGAAGGTATCTAAAAAGTTTTTTGTTTTGACTTTAATACGTCATTAATTATTTAATATAGCCAAAGCGAGCACAACTAAACAGTAATTGACATATATTTCTAATCACGAAGTTGTGAGTTTGATCCCAACACCTATATGTTGTATAAAAAAAGTTATTTAATAAAGTTTTAGTTTTTTTTAACAAGTCAATAAATGATGTTATTTGTGAGGGTGTTCACGGAGGAAGTAGAAAGCATTTTTTTTAAAGATAAAATACTTCATTAAAGAGAGGAAAGGTCCTTACTGGCAATACAAGCCAGCCAAGTAGGGATAGAAAGATCCCAACTCCGCTCTCTTGAGACATAGAAGCTTGACACGCAAGGAAATGAGCGCAGAAATTGGCCTCCTTATCTACCTTTACAAAATCGATTACACCACAAGAGACTTTTAAAGATTGTATTTCATCAACAACCCACTCGATTTTAGATGGATCGGTATCTTCTCCTCTCAAAAGCTTCACAACTTCCATCGAATTTGATTCCACTCTAATAAGAAAGGTTACAAGGGAATCGAATCCGATTACATTGGTTGGTGAGTTAGCTTTTATGAGTCGCTTTCATATAAATGAAATATAAAGTTTAGGTATTATACAGAAAATAAAAGTTAAAATTATCTAAAAAATATTTATTCCACCTGTATACTTTTATATAAAAATATATATAAAAGGCTAAATTAAAATTCTTAAAACTACACCAACCAAATTCAAACTATAGCCCAATTTTGTATTTAACCAAATTATTATAATGCTGTAACATTTCCATGTTGGATTTGACTATCTCAATGTAATGAAATAAACCACAGAGAATATGACAGTGACAACCATTTCTGGACTCCAACGGTATATATATTATATATCTATTTTAGGAAACGGTATATTATATTATATTATTTAATGAAACAACTTTACAATTAATTTAAATGGAAAGTATATTATATCACACTTATTAAAGGTAGAGAATGATTGTATTTGTTGGGCTGATGAAGCAGAATGGCCCAATATGAAAGAGCCCGGCCCAAAGTAACGTATCTATTGTGGAGCGCGTGTTCCCATGCCGCCAATTCAAATTTCAAAATCTTTTATGCCCTTTTTCCCCTCTTCGACCCGGCCACCCGAGAGAGACAAGAAACAGATCTCAACGTTCCATTTTCTCTTCATCCCAAACTCCAGAGCTACTCAACTGTTCATCTTTGGAATTTCCGGCGTCAATCGATATCTTCCGCCATCGGCCGGGAACAACCATTCAGGACTTTATCGGAGTTTGATCCATTCTGGATTTGAAGAAATATGGCATCTCGAAACCAGAATAGGCCCCCTCGCAGTCCAGCTGTAAGTCGACTCTACTCTATGTTCTTGTTCTATTTTTTTAGGATTGCAAGAAAATGAGTAAATCGAACTTCATTTCTGCACCAGTGTCTTGTAATCAAGGGTTTGTTAATTATTTGTATCATTTTTATCGCTGAACTAAGAACTAAGAGCAAGTTGGAATCAGTGGTTCCAAGGGAAACGTTCTGAATTTTTTCCTTCATGCGGTGTTTAGGTTTAAAGCTATTTCTTCTTTGGAGTTCAAAATGGTTGAGTTTTAAAGCCCTAGAATTTGATTTTGTACTGTATTACTCACGTCATGACCACTTTTTGAAACAAACATCTAGAAAAAGGATGTTCCAGACGATATTCCCTTTGACAAACGGAGGAAGATTGGAGCTGGAAGAACATTAGGGCCTGCAGCTGGTGCCCGCGGAAGACAGCCGTTTTTAGATGTTAACAGTAGGCAGGGGGTTTCTGCTAGTGATGCGTGTAGCATCGATGACTCTGAATGCGGCCCCATTGAGTTCACAAAAGAAGAGATTGATGCGTTGTTAAACGAGAAGTTAAAAGGGAAGAAATTTGATTTGAAGGTTGGATGACTAAATTATCTATGAGCAGTTTTTTTAATAATTAAACTTTCTTTTTGCGTCTTCTTGTCTTGAGTTGCTTTGTTTATGCTGTAATAAGACTTTTCCTGGCATCCATTTGTTAGGGGAAAGTTGATCAAATAACTGATCATAATAAGAGGCTCAAGCTTTGCATCAAATGGTTCCAACAAGTCGAGGAAAGTCATCTTCTTGATGAGGAAAGACTTCGAACTGCTCTAGAATCTGCTGAGAAAAAATGCTCTGACATAGGTAATTCTTCCGTGTTGATTTTCACAGGTTTCTGCTGCTGCCAAGTTTGATATACATTTTGTAAGATATTTACAAAGAGGAATGCTATATCATATTGTTCCATCTGTGTTTTCCAGAGTTGGAAATGAAAGAAAGAGTGGACGAGTTCTCTTCCACTATTTCAGTGCTAAGGAATAATGTCGCGTCTTTGGAAGAGAAATGTGCAAAAGAAGAATCTGATAAGTTGGTAGGTTTATAGATTGTTCATGCTTATTGGTTTTTTGTGTGCCGATAGATCCTTAATTTTTCCCTTCTATCTTTTTTCTCTCTTTGTTGTGTTGCCGTACATTTAGGATGCAATTGAGTGCCACAGAAGAGAGAAAGATGCCCGACTTGCAGCCGAGACTTCACAAGTTTCTCTTTCAGGCGACCTCGAGAAAGCTCTCCAAGAGAAATTAGCTGCTGAGAAGAGGGTATTATAGCTTGTATTGGAATTTAAGTGTCTTTTCATTAGTATATGTTTACAAGAATGGATATTTGCTTAGTTGATTTTTGTTGTAGTTTGATTTATGCTAATTCCGATCCTCACTCTTTGAAAATGTCAAAATATACAGCTTGCTTCTAATGAAGATTTATATAAAAGAGCTCAGGAGTACAATATTAGTCTTCAACAGTATAATAGTAAACTCCAAGCTGATCTTGATACGACTAGTGAGTCACTCAAACGAGTAGGGATGGAGAAAATGACAGTTGTGGAGAATTTAAGCACGTTAAGGGGCCACAACAAGACACTGCAGGAACAACTAAGATCTTTGAAAGTAAGATGATTCATAATCTTTGAGCAGGATAACTGTTTATTTTTTCCATGTCTTCTCCTTTTACTCTTCGAATCGGCTTGACAAGAAATTGAAGAACTTCAACGTTTGCAGGAATGGGATTTTCTTTGTCACATTGAAATTACTTGGTTGTTTCTTTTATCTGCTTACTCGTTCAGAATGTTATATGTATATGTATTCACTGATTTTTATTGGTGATAAAGCAAGTTATAAAGTTTTTTTTGTCCTTTTTCCCATAACACGGCACAAGTAATGTGGGTGCAACCTATATCCTAGTGAAGAAATTCATGCCTGTGTGCAGCTCTTTAAATTGTCTAATTTTGTATTTTGCTGCAACAATTTACACTGTCAAGAAAACAAGTGGCAGTTGCTATATATTACATGGCTGATAGAATCATGTTTTTGGTTATCTCATATAGGCTTCATTAGAGGAGGCAGTGAAACAAAAAGATACATTGACAAATGACATTAAGTGTCTTCGTGAAGAGCTACAACAAGTGAGAAATGATCGTGACCGTCTAACCAATCAGGTGCTGGCCTTGACCGCCGAAGTGGAGAAACTTAAAGAGGTCAGCGGTAAATCGTGTATTGAGTTGGATAGCCTGACAGTAAAATCAAATGCCTTAGAGGTAAATGCCATGCTTATGTTTACTCATTGAAGTTCCTGGCATCTAAAACTTTTTAGTCAATGAACTCTTTTCTTTTCCTTTCAGGAGACATGCTCTTCACAAAGGGAGCAAATACGCACGCTTGATCACCAACTAACAGCTGCAAATGAAAAATTGAAAGTAGGTGATATTTGTTCATGAATTGCTTGTTATACTGTTTTTATGGAGCAGACGTTGCCAGTCTGAATAAAATGTTTTCTTCTAATCCATAAACAATATCTTTTCTTCCACATAGATGGCAGATTTATCTGCTTTCCAAACTAGGTCAGAATATGAAGAACAGAAAAGGTATATTAGTGACTTACAAAGCCGCCTGGCAGATGCAGAGCTGCAAATTACAGAGGGAGAGAAGTTAAGAAAAAAACTTCACAACACAATACTGGTAACGTTCATGTGCTCGGTTCTTTTGGCTTTAGGTTATTAGGTGGTTGGCTTTAAATTTATTTTATTGTCTCAATGATTAGGAATTAAAAGGGAATATTCGTGTATTCTGCCGAGTACGTCCCTTGCTACCAGATGATGGTGTGGGAGCAGAAACCACGGTTATCTCCTATCCAACATCAACAGAAGCTCTTGGCCGTGGTATTGATTTGTCACAGAGTGGTATGAAGAAATTCGTGTTGTTTTGTCAATTAATTAGAATTGAACTTTTGTATATTTGAAATCAACGCATGATGTATTTCCCTTTAATCCGAGTTAACTAGAGGCTAATCATTTATTCAATGCAATTATGTTGTCAACAGGGCAGAAATATCCCTTCACGTTTGACAAAGTGTTTAATCATGAGGCTTCTCAACAGGATGTTTTTGTTGAAATATCCCAGCTGGTGCAGAGTGCCCTTGATGGCTACAAGGTAACGTTGCTTCTCTTGTTTTTGCGATTCCTTGTGAGTAGAGTGCTTCAGACTACAATGATGCATGGGTTGTTCCACCACTCGTTCCATTTTAGTTCTTCCCCCCCATATTTTTTCTAACACAAATTGCTAAGTTCATTAAAATTTAAACAAGTTAATTGAGATTCAGTCTTTTCTTTTCCTTGGGCATCTGGTTTTCCTCCGTATTTCCTGTTAGATGATGTACCACTTTTGGTGCCTTGTTTGAAATTTACCGACCCGATATTTGTCAGGTATGTATATTTGCCTATGGTCAAACCGGATCTGGCAAAACCTATACAATGATGGGAAGACCCGAAGCTTCAGAGCAAAAAGGGTTGATACCACGTTCTCTTGAACAGATATTTCAAGTTAGTCAGTCCCTTCAAGCTCAGGGTTGGAAATACAAAATGCAGGTAAACCAAAACAACTTATTTTAATCATCAGTGTTTACTTTTAATTCTAGAACCTTTATGTAATCCATTCTAAATGCTTGTTGTAGGTTTCCATGTTAGAAATATACAACGAAACCATCCGTGATTTGCTGTCAACACATCGATCAATTGGTTCTGACACAACAAGGACAGAAAATGGTGTTCTTGGTAAACAGTACACCATCAAACATGATGCAAACGGGAACACGCATGTTTCAGATCTCACCATCGTCGATGTCTGCAGTATTAGAGAGATCTCTTCACTCCTACAGCAGGCTGCCCATAGCAGGTGCATCGCTTTGAAAATGACATCTTAGAACACTGAATTTCTTTACCCTTGTAGTTTATGCGCCAAGTTGACGATAGGGTGGACAACAAAACTAAATTTGAATTGTGTTTGATTCTCAGGTCCGTAGGCAGGACCCAAATGAACGAGCAGTCATCAAGAAGTCATTTTGTATTTACACTGCGTATATCAGGCGTAAATGAGGCAGGTTTCCTTGCACAATCATGCATGCATAGTTTATTTGTAACGTTTTTATAGTATGTATATCAGCTGAAATTTTCTTTCACTTTCCCAGAGCACTGAACAACAAGTTCAGGGGGTTTTAAATCTCATCGATCTTGCTGGAAGTGAACGGCTTTCCAGGAGTGGGGCAACTGGGGATCGGTTGAAGGAAACACAGGTTCTCTTTCTCTTCCCTAGGCTCACATTCTCACACACAAATTCATGCTAACTTGCATTTTGATGCGTTTTCTCTGCGATAATTCTGCTAACTTGCATTTTTCGTGACTATCATCAGGCTATAAACAAAAGTTTGTCCTGTTTGAGTGATGTTATATTTGCCTTGGGTAAGAAGGAAGACCACGTCCCGTTTAGGAACTCCAAGCTTACGTATCTTCTCCAGGCATGTGATTTCTCTAATTCTATTTTAGCTTTTGTTACCTCTAACTTTGCATCTGTGTCTCCATCTGTGTCTCCATAATTTTCCATCTCCATTTACCATGTGACTAACGGGGTTTGTTTTCAAATGCATAATACAGCCATGTTTAGGCGGAGACTCAAAAACTTTGATGTTTGTCAATATCTCCCCTGATTCAACATCTGTGAATGAGTCGCTTTGCTCCCTTCGGTTTGCCGCCAGAGTCAATGCCTGTGAAATTGGCATCCCGAGGCGACAAACAACCATGCGACCTGCAGATTCTCGCTTGAGTTATGGCTAAAATTGGGCTGTGTACACTCGCACACAATAAATCTTATTTGTTTCACAGGGGGTTGTAGTAGTATTACTGAGTGTTGTAGATGTTTTGTTGGGATCAACTTTACTAATCTGTATTAATATCAGAGTTAGAAGTCAGGCTGTGCCCTTTTTAACATGATTTTTCATTTCTCTGTACAACAGTTTATGATTTTATGAACCTCAACATAAATATTTCTCATATTTCTAATTTCAATCCATGAAGTTGAGGCTGGAATTTTGTTGCCTCTCCAACACTATCTCACCATTCCTCGTCAGTCAATTACTGCTGCACTATTAAAGAGCAGTTTATTGAGCTACATGTTTTTAGTAAAATTTTTTGGATGAATTTCAGTCGCTTCTAAATATAACTTCGACTCTGTGTAGCTTATATGATGATGAGTCCTTTCTAAATCTTTTGGCTGAAAAAATGCTAATAAAGTTAAAAAAAGAAAAAGAAAATTTTGAATTTTCAATATCATAGTTTGAATTTACAACAACTAGAATTGAAAGAGAATAACACAAAATTGGTTATGAAACTTATTCTCAATAAAAAGATAATTCGAATTCACACCTAAATTCACAATGGACAGGTAAAAATTACATAAAAAAGAGTTTATTTTTGTATTAAAAAAACATAAAAAAGACCTTTCCTATTTTCTAATTAATTTCATTTCTATTGTATTTTATAAATGTATTTCGAAAACTACGTTGTCTTGAAAAGTAGAACAAGGAAAAAAAAACCTCGATTCACTCAAGTTAGAGTCATAGTATAACCTTGGGGGAAGCCACAGGCGACGTGAATACAAAATTTGTTCTTATATATAATTCTGCAATAATGCGATGAAACGGAGGGAAAAAAAAACTGTTAAAACTGTACAGAAAAGGACAAGCTTTTTGTCGAAAGAACGAAAAAGAAATTCAGATGAGATCAGAAGACGATGCAAATTGCAAGGGCAAGCATGCCTTCTGATACTATTTCGAAGATTGTATGTGAAGCCAGCGAAGAATCAAATCAAACAATTGGATAAGAAGAAATTAAGAGGTGGGGTCCGATTCTGAGCCAGAAAATATCTGTAGTCTTTATCTCTTCTAATCAAGCATGGAATTATTGCGATTTCATCGAAAAACCCGTTATCGATCGCTGAAGGAGTCGAAAATATTCGAGTAGGAGATGGAGCGACGACAGATGAGGGTTGTGAATATTGAATCCTTGGAATCGTGGAACTCCTACTTGACCCAACCCACTCATCAGGATTCTCTCGTATGTTTCCTTCTTCAAGCTCATTTCCGTGCTAAAATTTGCTTTCCATCGATGTTTGCTCTAGAGATTTTTTTCAATATTCTTCGAATGTGTTGTTCATTTGCGAATATATTTGATGGATGCTTTTCTGGTTTCCGTTTGCGCTCTCAATTCAAATTCATCAAACTAAAAAATGTTTGATATGAATGATTACGATATTCCAGATGGGTTGCCTGTATGTGCAGCCCCCATTGAAGTTTTCTCCTGCAAAAGTAATTTTACCCTCTTGTTCGTATTGAAATTGAGGAATAGTTCAGATTGGGTGAAATTGGTTATAAGGTATAATGAAAGATTTGCTTTATTTTGATGGGAAATTTGGTTTCTAGTTCGTTCTCATCAACAAATATAAGTTCCAAGTTTTCATTTGTCTGTTTGATTTTTTGTAGATTGTCGTGCACTTCACTGCTTCTTGGTGCATGCCTTCAGTAGCTATGAATCCATTCTTTGAAGAACTGGCTTTTAACTACCCAGATGTTCTGTTTCTCACAGTCGATGTTGATGAAGTTAAGGTAACAAGACTAATTCCAATCTCCAAAACCACGATAAGTGTGTATTGCAACTTTTGAAGAATTTGGCACATTATGCTGAAAAACAGATGCTGTTGTTACCCATGTCTAGGAACTTATCCGCTTTACAGACTCCTCATGCTTTCAATTTACTTCTCTAAGTGACGCAAACTACAAATCGTTGTCATCATAAGATCATTGTGTTAAGCAACCAACGAGGTAGGAGGTCATTTGTGGTTGCAAATGTTTATGGTAAAATTTCTGAGTTCTTAAGAACGGAGATGGGTTGTCATCAAACTGGATGAAATTATTTCTGAAATTTTTCTGAACCGTGGATTTGAGGAGAAACAGTTGCACATGTTAGCAAACCAAGAGATGAGGCATTAGTCAGACTAGACCAGAAAGTTCTCTGTTTTTTAGTTTCCAGTCCCTAGATTCTGAGTGTTTAATAGCACCTTTATAACATAGGGTTTATAAGGTAGATAAGCAAGCAGTTGGGCTTGTTAGCCTTTGATGTAAACCAAATGAGAGAGACTTTTATGGATTGAAAAAACTACCCAACAAATGAAGACCGCAGCCCCTTTTATAGAAGAGGGCTAAAGATATTTAACAAGAATTAACTAATAACAGCCAACCAACTAACTAAAAACAGTCAACCAACTAACTAATAACAACTAACCAACTAACTTCAACCTTTAACTAATAACTAGTAAAACTAATGGGTTGGTAATTACATCAACCATACCCATTTCAACAACATCTACTCTGAATACTGTTGATAATCATCAAAGTCTTAAAAAAGAGAATCATATTATATAAGTAATGGATGGTACGACAAATTATCGTCCCTGACCGACAGCAGAGAGATTATTTTTGGCTTGAATTTTTTATGCTAGGACGTGGCTGCTAAACTGGAGATAAAGGCAATGCCAACTTTCTTGCTGATGAAGAATGGGATTCAGATTGACAAGCTTGTGGGTGCAAATCCTGAAGAGACAAGGAAACGGATAGATGCATATGTTGAGACCATACATGCTGCTTAATGTAATAACATCTTTATGGTGTTGTCTGTAATATATATATATATATATATATATATATATATGGCTGTGGTTTTGGCATCTACTGAAAGACAAGTTGCAAGACTGGCTCTTGTTTATGTGGTTTCAGTCTCTCAGATCATGTAAATTCAAGTTTTAAAACTGTTCTTCATTCTCTGTTTAATTTTGTTTCATTTTCTATGCAAATGGATTCTGGTTTTTGGTGTCAGGTTATTTGAGAATCTTAAAAATACATTACAGATTTAACCATAGTTAAGTTATTGAAGTCCGTGAAAGACTCAGAGAGAATAGGTTGGCCCGACGCTCACAGATGTAAACAAATATATATAGATTTCTGTATGGGTTGTTGAGTACACACGAGAAGAGTGTTTGATGTAATTTTTTTAGTACATTAAATGTGGAGATGGAGAATTAAACCTCGGTTTGAATGCCTTAACCGTATGCTCATGTTGGCGTGTTAGTTGTGAATTTGGTGTGGGAGTTGGAATCTATTCGAACGGTTTAAAATCCAAAGTTAGAAAGCGAATAGGGGAGGGTGGGCCTTAACATGGGATGCATCACAAATATTGCAAATCGCAGTCTTTACTTTTTCTTGTGGTGGTAGCGGTAGTGGACCAGTTGCAGTATTTGATTCGTCTCCGATTTTCCCTTCCCATTCTTTTCCCTTATTCCCCTTTTCATCTCTACAGATTTGCCATCGCTTCCTTTCACCATCTCCGCCATTCAACCAAACCAATTCCAATTCCTTCTTCCGCAATGCATATATTCTAGCATTCGCCACGGAACACGGCGCTTCGTCGCGCCCTGTAATCTAAAATACTTGTACCCGGATTTCGAATTCCGGAAATTCATCAGAGATGGGCTCGCCTGAAGATACGGATTGGGTTTTCGATTACGGTGTTATAGAGGACATTCCTGTCCCCGGCGGTGACCTCCCCTCGCTTGATCCTCCTGCTTTCACTTTGCCTTCTCGTGATTTTACTCCCTCCTTCAGGTTCTTGTTCTTTGCCCCTTGTTAGTTTTCTAATAGTTAACGAATCAAGCTGCATTTATCTTTTTTTGAATTTCTTTTTGGTTGTGTATCTGGGGACTGTAAGTTGTTGAAATGAACGGGTTGAGTTGTGCTTGTGTTTTGGCCAGGCAATTCAAACCGTGTAGTTGTTTCATCGAGCAAAATACTTGATTTTCTTTATCAGGATGTCATATTTGACATTTTCACCTGTAAGACGACAGTGGTCTCTGCTGAGGTTCATAATGTTTAATAGAGTTTGAACTTTGAGGCATCACCGTATAGGTTTTTCTCATGTGGGAACTCTGTGTTCTAATTACTATTGTGAGAGTGTATTAAATAAGTTATTTTAAACATAGCCATCAGTTTAAGTTTTTAGATCTATTAACAAGTGAACATGGCATCAAGAGTAAGAAACTCTTGAATTCTTACTTCTTCAACGTCTCTTTCTTCTCTGTTTTATGTTAATAGTTTGTGCTCGTGGATTATATCAATATAATTTTTTAGATTTACTAGCAATTTAGCATATGCTATAAGAGTTGGAGGTTTTGATTCAAATTTCTGCCAAATTATTTTCTCTCAATTTCATATTGACAATAATCCATGTGTTAGACTTTATGCTAATATTAGAGCCTATCCATGAGGAGAATCTTGGAACGTATTAATGATTTTATATATCGCAACCAATGACTTAAAGCTTTACTCTGTTTCTCTGTTCTTTTATGTGACAGAGATGATACATTTTATTCAGGAACTCATTCTTCTTTTGTTAGAGTTTCAGGACAGACTTTGAGGAACCACATAGAAAGCCAGATGATATAAATGAAACGGGGTCCAGGAAAAGGTAAGCAGTTGTTGAGTTACACCTTGAATTATTTTAAGTTACAATATCTGCAGTATGAGGAGGATTAGCATCGTTCATTATGTTAAACTTCTAAAGATTTAGAACTCAAATTTAGCGTATTAGATATGCCCTTAACAGAGCATGGAAATTTTCTTACTGTTGACAGGATGAGCTCTGGAGGGTCCAAAGCACATAAAGAGAAACTGCGGAGGGATAGGCTAAATGACAGGCATTAAATAATGCTCTAAATTTTGTTACATTCATCATTTTCTCGTTCCCGTCTCCGCTCCTCCCCCCACCTCATATTTTCTCTTTGCTCATTAAAGGTTTCTGGAACTGAATTCCATCGTCAATCATGGAAGGCCTCCCAAAATTGACAAGTCTACTCTTTTGGGTGATGCAGTTCGGATGATCATACAGTTACGGGACGAGGCTCAGAAGCTGAAGGAGTCTAATGAAACTTTTTTGGTGAAGATTAATGAAATCAAGGTGCATCTGGCTTGTCTATCATTATTAAGTTTCTAATTCCTACATTGGTTTTTTAAATAATGTGGTTTGCATTGTACTTGTGATGTTTGGTTCGATCTTCCATTGATATTTGAGTTATTTTCTGAGTAAAGCTTTCTTTGTGTAGGCTGAAAAGAATGAACTTCGAGATGAGAAACTGAGGCTGAAAGAAGCAAAAGACAACCTCGAACAAAAAATGAAGGCGTTCAATCCTCAACCAGCTTTCCTGCCTCACCCTCCTGCAATTCCCGCTGCATTTTCTGCCACAAACCAGGCCGTTGGGGGCAAGTTGGTACCTGTGATTGGATATCCTGGAGTATCCATGTGGCAGTTTATGCCTCCGGGTGCCATCGATACCTCGCAAGACCACATTCTCCGGCCGCCAGTCGCCTAAGTTGGCCAATTTCTTCCATTCACCGGCTTTGCTTGAGACATGAGGCTTCCTACGTTGATTTTGCTGAAGACTGATCCAGTTTTGTTGTCTGTTAAGTTTTCAAGATTGGATTGGTTGAGTATCTGTTTTGTGGGAGAAGTTCCTGCTGGTCAAAATCAATGATGGTCTAGTGAGAAAACAGTATTCACCAATTCTGGTAATCTTACCTCATTCTTCTTCTTCAGTGAAAGGGATCTCGTTATTGTCTTTTTATGAAGGAAATCTCTCTTTTATAAAAGAACAAATATACTCTCCAGTGGTCAAATCTGGCGGGCATGCCATGCATGAGATGAACTTCTTCTATGTCCTTCATGACGAACAATGGAAGAAGTTTGGTTTTTGCCTTTCAGAACGAACTGAGAAATGAAAAAGAGAAGGGAGAGAGATAGTAGATAAAGAAAAGAGAAGGGAGAGAGATAGTAGATAAAGAAAAGAGATGGATAAAAAAGAGCCACTTGGTTGAATGTTGAAATTCCTATTGACCTATTTCTGTTGTGTGTTAAGTTTCCAGATTGAATTGACTGAGTGTCGAAATTGCTATTGACATGCCCATAAACTGATATTTAAGTTCGAATTATGCCTAAGCAATTTTAAAGATGAGGAAAGATTCAAATTTTTGTGTAAAAGCATTCTCCTTTACTTTCATAGTAATTCTCTGTAATCACAAGAACTTACAAAGCCCGCATCATAAAGAAAAATTGTTTCAACAAGGTGATTTAAATCCCATAGGATTTCCAGCAGTGTAGTCCCTTAAAACATTAAGGGCACCGAATGTGGTCATCAAAACAGTACTCAAAGCCATCACTATACTAACTGAGAAGATGATGAGAGACGCCCTTCCATAGTCGCGAATTGCCTTCTGCACCACCACCAACCCGAGCATAGAGGCGACGAAGCAGATGAGGGCGAATCCGACTGCAACTTCAGCATGCTCCATCCCCAGCAGCAAATACTGGCAAGCTGACATAGTAGCCGAGAAGAATACCATGAAAGAGCAAGTTGCAGCAGTTACCTGTGTTCAGATTCTGTACATATGAGCAGAATGGGCAGATGGTAATAAAAGCAGTGATGAGTTGAAAAGATAAAAGGACTTGCCTCAGGAACTATTCCAACTTGAAGAAGGAAAGGGCTTATAAGCATCCCACCACCAATTCCAAACATGCCACCCAAAATCCCAGCTAAAAGTGCCATTAATGGGAATATCAGTTTCTTTGATGGTTCAACTGCCGGCCGTTCTTCTTCCAATTCCTTTACAATAAACAGAAGACAACATTAGTTTTTTCCTTTTGGAACATCTGACAACATTAAATATGCTGTGGCAACCAAATATGAGAGAACTAGTAGTTTCTTTCTTTGTACCTTCTGGGGGGAGTTTTCGGGTTGAGGGCTATTCTGTTTGTGAAGGATCCAGAGAGTGAAACCAATGGCCACAGGAACTTGGAGCGAAGAGAGAATCCAGTAAGCCGTTCCACATGTTTCTATTGGTATAAGACTCTGCACAAACAAGAAGTTACATACGCCAGTTCTGTTTTTTTACACACAGACTTGACTTTGCAAGAACAAAAACAAAATCGGTGTACTGAATTCTAGAGTTATTTCTTAAGTATTTTTTTTTTTTTTTTTTTTGACAATTGGGAGTTGGAGCTTTGCTCCCCGTACCCAAGAGCACCCAACCCGCCTCAAAGCTCATACTCGGGAGACATCCAGTAATTTTAGTATTAAGCTCACTAGAAATTCGAACTTGAGACCTCTAAACCAATATAACTAAGAGATCCTGAGCCTTTAGAAATACTTTTCTTAAATATTCTAAGAAATCACTTAAAGAATCTATAGAAAAGTCATCTCAAATTCACTTTAAATATTAGTAGGACAACTAAAGGTATGTGGTAGCGGTTTTTCTTAAAGCCAATGTATCAAATAAGATCCGAGAATATGAAGTTTGTGGATGGAATCAAAAGCTACCAAGAGGAGTCCATGGGACCAAGGGAGTGGCAGAGGTATAATATGCCCCAGGAAAAAATTGGTCCCATGACTAAGTCAAAATAGCAAATTATTAATTCACAGCTTGGCATTATGAAGTCAAGAATCATGTCACCATAAAAGAATCATATTTAATTTCACCATGTCAGACAAATTTGGAAGTCCATTTTCTATAGTGAAAAAGGGGAGGGTTTTCTTATCTCTTTCAAGAGTCATTGAAAAGTCATCTAATATTTTGCTTTATGAAGATATGCTATAAACAATTAAATTATTATGATTATATCCGCACAGATCAACATCAATATGACACTTTATCATTAACATACTATTAAATGAATATACAACTATTTTGTATCAAATTGTCACATCCACATTTCACAGTACATGGAGGCTTAGTTTAAAGTTAATGGTGTTATTCAATATATACTCTTAACAACAATCAAGAACATATCAAGATAACTTCTATATATATACTTTTTATAAACATCAAACACTCTGATATAGAAATTCCCTAATGATGAACAGTTATGATCTAATAAGACACAGAATCAAATGATAAGTAATGTCAAATAGCTTGAATCCTTACCCGTCCATAGCGGTTGCCACGAAGAAGATAGATAAGATAGAAAGAAAACCAGACAAGAATCAAGACCCCCAATTTCATCAAAGGAAGTCTCAATTTTCGATTCTCTTGTGTGTCGATCAGAGGATCATCTAAAGCCTTTGCTCCATGTTCGTCCCCTGTTCCATCTTCCAACTTCTCACACCCATTACTCCTCAGCACTTGTGTTTCCAGTTTCCAATACAGCATCCCACTTTTGCAAGTTTTCAAGGTCGACCAAGCTAGAAAAATGGCAAACAGAATAGTAATCACCCATTCAGGAAACGCAAGGTTGCAGATAACTCCAATACTAACTCCTAACAACATGCAGGGTTGAGTCAGAAGCGCAATATCGAAATTAATCAAATTCTTGCCCCCGGACTTGGATTTTTTGGAGCAGAAACTGCTAAACACATTCGCAACCGACCCTCCGGTGACCATAAAAGCCGAGAGGCTAGAGGCTGTTTTGAGGTCCGCGCCGGCCACAATGGTCAAAATAGGTATATAAAGCCCCCCGCCGCCAATCCCGCCTGCGCTGGATAGAGAGGCGGCGATGAAGGACAGAACTCCGGCAACTAAAACGGGAGGCGAAATCAGAAGGTGGGTCTGATCATGGTGGAATCGAGCTTGGTGGGTGGTTAGCCATTGTTGGGTTGTGTTGAGAAATCGGTCGATCGCTGTGAAATCCGAGAAGGGTTTGGTTTGAAAAGCTTGAGAAACATTAATGGCGAGCGATAGGACCAAAAAGGCAATGGCAAGTTGTTGCGTATTGTTCTTCATTGTGTTGCAGCCAATTGTGAGAAGATCAGTATATTAAGGGCGCTTTATATATAAAGACAAAGACGGGCGGAACTCCAGAGTGTTCCTCGCAATTTCCTGCACAGAGACGAAAGAACAAAGAAGAAAGATTGAATGGAATATTGGAAGTTGGAGGATTAGAGAAGCAGTGTGTAGCCCATTTTAAAGGTAGCTTTCGGGCTTTATATATAAGAGAAAAAAAATAAAAAATCTTCTCATCCTTCTAAGAAACGGATTAGGAAATCTTTCTCGAGCATATGAGGGTTCCCTGATTAGATTAGATAATTAACTGTTTGTCAGTTTGAAAGAGATTTTGAACAATTTGAACATGTTTTTGTCTAGATTTATATTTGCAAGTTTATATTTTATTATTATTATTATTATTTACTTCATATTTGCAAGTTTATATTAAGTTTAGAGAAAAGTTGAGAATATCAATATATTTTATAACAACTAATATTTAAAAGGAAAATGATAGTGGACAAAAAAAAAATCTTTTATGTATTTCAAAATATTTCATTTATTTTTAAATTTTGTAAAATATAGTTCAAATTTTAACTTATATCAGATGTATATCACATATATATCATTTAGGTAAAGTTGTTATTTGTTTAAAATAAAAATACTATATTTGAAAAAAATAAAAGTAATAATAGATCTTAGAAACTTAAATCAATTAGATTTTATAATTGATTTAATTCAAAAAAATAATAAATTAATTATATAAACATAAAATAATAATCATTTGAATTTAAATTTAAAATAAATATAAATAATAATTAAATTTTTGACAAACTCAGCTTTCTTAAATCCAAGCTAACTTTTCCGAAATTGAAACTATACACCCTAATTAGGCAATGAGAGTTTATGCGTATGATAAATGGAATCTTGTGTGCATCTCGAAGGATTAATATTTTTTTTATTAAATCTTATCTGACACGTTTAAAGTCCTTTAATTGATCTTGTTTTAGAGTATATTTTATGGAAAAAAGTAATGATTGTTTTTACGTAATTAAAAACAAAGCAATGATTGATGTGAATTATTTGAATAATTCATTTACATTTTTTTTAATAAAAGGAGGTGATTAAATTTTTAAAAGAATTATATTTAATGAATAGATCATTTAATTTATGTCTAGGATATAAATTACATCAAATTAGAAAAGAAAAATAAAAAAAATGCATTCCCTGCAGTCCATGATAAACTGATTTTTTCTTTTTTGATAAAAGAAAACACAGAAAAGAAATACAAATTAAACATTAGGGAGTTGTAAAAGAAGAAGGTTGAACAACCACGATAGCATATCTCCGTCTTCTCCACGCTTCCAAAGGACAAAATCTTCTCCATCTTTGGCTCTCTTTGCAATCTCATGAGCCATCAGATTCAAATCTCTCGATGCATGTTGGATCGACACAGTATTTGCAGTCAAAACCAACTGAACGCCATCTTTAATGACCCATTAATATATCTGTATTCTAAAAAAATATAACCATTTTTCAGTATAAGTTGTATTAACATGCACGCGGGACAAAGATTTGTATTAAATTTGTAATAATTAATCCGAACATTACTCAATTGATTAAAATATTATAACTTCGTCCAAAAACAGGCGCATAAATATATATATTTTTAAGAAAATACAAGATGACATGTCACCTTCCACTAGCCTCACAATCTTCCTGCCAATTTGGCCGTTTTTGCTTGTTCGCGTGATTAGATGATCTGTTTCACCACAAAAATTGGATCCACAGAAAACCAATTAGCAATTTCTTTGATCTCTCCCACTCAATTTTTGCTATATTCGTATATTGCGACGTTTGTGTTTAGTTTTAGTTTAGGTCTGGGTCCATTTAATTCTCCACTACCAACTCTCCTAATTCTTCTAATTTCTGTGGCCAAATCTTGGACTACCTTTAAATTAATTATGTGATCTATGTTCCATTCTTGGTATAGTTAAACAGGTTAAAATATATATCATAGATTAAAAAATTAAAATATACAAAAGTTCCTATAGCCCAGGTTGATTTGGTGAAAGAAAGGAAAATTGGAAATAGAAATAGAAAGAAGAATGTGATTATGATTATATGAAACTTAGGTTGGAACTAAAAAAGAGAAAAAGAAGCCTAAATAGTAAATTCCCATTTGAAGTGGATGAAAAAGTGGGGCAGTAGTGTACACAGTGTCTGTGGTGGTGGAAATGGAAAGCCATCTCAGCCACGTGATTCTCCACTGCATAATAATACACGTGTCCAATCCAAACTCTGTCTCTCTCTCTAGTTTCTTTTTGTTGTCTTCTTTTTCCCTTCAATTAGCATCATGCAAATTGCAAACTTTATTTTCAGACCTTGTCCACAAGTAAAAGTAACAGTGGAATGGAATTCATCTCTAATAGCACAAATTGGTATCTTAGGTTTTGATACCCATCCTACACATCATTATAGCCAACGAGTAATGAACAAAAAAACCAAGTAAAATTAGCTTTTCCTTACCAACATTGAAAAGCCTTTCGCTTTTAGTTTCACCCAAAAAGTCTCGTACTAATATAGATATTATTTCCATATTTATATATCCATGATCTTCATCTTATTTAATCAATACGAAACTTTGACTGTATTTCCAACTATTACTTTATATGGAAAGTGGAGTGAGCAGTAAAGTTTGTAGCATTCGTCCACCACCGCGTGAAAAAGGGTTACATTTTTTCCACCTCACTCAAAAGAATGTATATTTTATTGTTTGATGATCATGATATGCATTTTTTCTGGGATCGCAGTGCATTATTTAATAATTCTTTTCTTGTGATCTTATCTTAATCTGAAACTCGATTTTGCATTGTGATTATTTTACTGAAAGAAAATGGCTATCCAGTTGGAGCACAAGAACAACTCATCCTATATATCTTTCATCTTTTTTTTTTTTTTTTTGGATTCGTTAGATAAAATCAAATCCCATTAATTCAATGACAAAACATTCCAACAAGGATACAGTAATTTTCTCAAAAAAAAAAAAAAAAGGATACAGTAATAAATATCTCACATCCATATGTACATGAATATCCATTTGGCACTGTCTAAATAATAACTTCAAATAATATTAATCATATTGTCTCACTCCTCAATGTTTATTATTTTTCCATCACTTCTATTCATTAAAATATGTATATTTAAATTGTTCTTTCTCGATTGGCCTTTTCTCTGATGTGTTTATATTCCCTTTTCAATACATTACTTAATTAGAGAACTTTAACTTTACCTATACTCGTTGAAATTATTACTTTATCTTAATCCTATCCACTTAAGATTTTTTTTTATTTAATACAATTTGCATGGCAACTACCTCAAATTTTCACAATACTATATCTTTTTTTAGTTCTCAAATTGTAATAAATACGGCTCTATTTCATTACTTTTTATTTTCTGTTTTTTAAATAAAATAAACTCATTTCTTTTCCTATTCATTGTTTATTTATTATTATTTTGAAGTCTTAACCAAATTCTAGAAGTCAATTTTTTTCTTTCAAGATATCTCCTTTTATCTTTTTAAAGTACTTATGTTATTATTTTAAAAAGAGATTACAAAATAATGAAAGGGACATACTTTAAAAAAACCATCAAAGCAAAAATATTATCAATCAAGATTGTATGAGATAATTAACCATCTTAGAGTAAATTTGGCATTAGCAAATAACTATAGTTTATATATATATATATATATATATATATATGCATATTACTATACTAGGGAGTAACAAGGGATAGGCCACAGCCAGACATATTGTAGTTTTTTTTAAATGTATTTGTTTGACTATAATTTTTAGCATATGAAGAGAATGACATCATTTGATAACAAATTAAATTTGAATTTTTGAAGAAGAGAGTTAGGAATATGTCCTTGTAATCCACTGACATACCTACCAAGCTGAATGGCTATATAGATCCTAAGAAAAAAATTATAAAAAGAAGATAAAATAAAATTTAGTACACTAGTTCAATTTGACATTTTATTATCATTATTATTTTACATTAATGTGATCAATATGAGATATTATTGTGAATTGGATGTCACGTGTACTTTATTGTTTTTTCCTCGTCTTTCTATGCAATATTTATCTACATCATAACGACAAAAGTGATATCTTTGAATGTCCGAGCTAGTTTATATCGACTAATTACGGAACAACTACTTAATCCTACTAGATTTGGTTGCAAAGGAATTACTTAGGAGATTAATTCTTAGATAGGTTGGCCATCATCAATATTAAACTCATTTCTCCTAAACCTTTTGATTTACCTTGCTCATTTGGACCCATAAATCAACTCATGATGGTTGATTTAGTGAGTTAACCTTGTAATAATTTTGAAATTTCATTTTTAATTTAGCAACTTCTTTCCTCGTGAAATTTAGAATCCCACCCAGATGTAAAATTAACCAAATTTGAAATCAAATTAATTGTTTTTAATACATTTTCAAAATCGGGAGAAATTATTAAAGGAGGTCGTCACAATTTAGTTGACAATTTTAGATCATTAAATTTATGAGGGAGAAATCACAAGAATATCTCGAATCCGTATCCAACATTAATTAAAGGACTTGAAGATTTTGGAATATGTATCCAACTTATTAAGTGCAGCAATATTGAGGCGACTTGATTTAATAATTTTTCCCTCAACCATCTTACTTTTTTAATTGTAGGAACTATTTTCTCTCTTCAACTTTCTTTTTTTGGTTGTTGACTTGTTTGAAAGTTTTATATATTTTCTTAGTTAAATATGTCAATTATGTGTGTTGGAGATGATTTTTCATCCGCCACCGACATGCTCAATAATGATGAGTCAACATAATGACTCATACATGAACAAACGATAGCTTGGACCTTCGAAGAGGTCGAGGTGAACTACCAGAAACAGTGAGATCCATGCTTCATGCCAAGCTAACCATAGTCTCATTTGTCGACCATATGAGATATCAATCAAGCCGCAGACTTCAGTCATTTGAGTTGTCAGTCTAATCAATCTATGTTAATTTCTACAGGCGCAAACTCTAACTGAATCCATGACAACAGGTTGCGATTCTCGGGGCTATTAGAACCTTTGGAAGCCTTGTTGGAGGTCATGTCGGAAACCCAACCTATAAATAGAGACCTCCCGCCTCATTTTTAGGTATATGCAAAACTATATTCTCTTGAGTATAGATCGGCCAACTACTAACTTGAGTGTCGGAGTGCGAACTCTGTTTTGCATATCCTTTACTTACACTCACTTTAGCTTGTTAAGAAAGTCAGTTCGTCACTACCGACCTTCGTAAACTTAATCAATTTCTTGATCAAACAAAACATTAATGTTATACTTTGTTGTCACTTAGAAGACATTTTCTTAATATATGTACAAATGAGACAATGTCATGTATATGTTGGGCTTGTAAGGAGTGCAAACAAAGTTCTACATTGGTTATGGAAATGAATGATCATAGACATATAAGAGGGGACAATTATCTCCATTAATATGAGGTCTTTTGGATGGAATCAAAAGCAAAGTCGTGGGAGCTTAACACTATATATATTTTGAATATAACAACACTCTAGGTGGAGATTCAAACTTGGATAAGTGTTTTAACCCGCTGCCAAAAAAAAAAAAAAATAAACAGGGAGAAAGGTTAGTTCTTGACACCTACATATTCATAAATATACAGTTCATTATCTCTGTAAGAATAAAAAGACCAAGTGGAGAAAGAAAAGGGAATACACCAAAAATAATTGCCTGTCCCTTTCTACTTCTTTTCCATGGTGTGATATTAAAGCTTATCCATTTGATATCATTCTGTAATTAAACCCATCATTATTTATTCTACTCTCACCTCATCTCCTTGCCCTGAAATGATTACATGGATTATAGCAAAAAGGAGAAAAAAAAAATGAAAACTTGATTAGAAATGGCCTGTCTTCCTTTTTACTATGATATTTCTTTACCCTACTCAAAAGTTTAGGTAGATTATCATAAAAGTGATTATTATTATGTCTAATTCGTTAAATTACTATGCTCATATTCTCGTCCAACATCATCAATATTAATTGGGGAGGAAATAATCAAAGACCTCGTGCTATGGTATTTGGTATTATGTATACTTTTGAATTATCTAAATTTAATCTTTTATTCATGCTTAGGGATGAGATGTGTTTTGCTTCAGAAAATAAAAAAGAATGAATGAGATGTGTTTGATTTTTTCTTATGGCAGGATAATTCTAAGTTATGAATCAAACCCTGTAAGCAGGGCTGTAAAATTGAAATGGAAACGTGTGTTTAGTTTCAGTTCTCTTTTTATCAGTCAACGAAAATCTAAAGCAATTGAGCTTATTGATCTTGCCTCCTGAAAAAATGTAGAGGCCACCATCGTTTGCCAAAATTGGGATGAAATTGGAGTTGACTTTTAAGCAAGTTGCTTTTTAATTATTATCAATCCCAGCCATCAGAGAAATGCAGTTGACTTTTGTGCACAAAGAACAACTGAGAAAATAAAAAAGGCCATGACTTTATTGTTGTTATGAGTGTTCTTAAGCAGGTACTAAAGCTTCAACTCCATTTCAAATTCAAGCCAGCTCCCACTCCTTTAAAGAACAAATTTTTACCATCCGAATGAAATGGAAGCATTCAAATTCATATCAATGTTGTTTCTGTTTGCAACTCTACTGTTAATAATATTTGGCTCTTGCTTTTGCTGCGCTGATATCAACATGGATTCTGACAAACAGTGTTCGAAATCCGATAGCTCCACAGCTGAGAACAATTTCCAGACTAATCTGAAGAACCTTCTGGATTCTCTCACCCAAAATGGGCCTCTTCTAAATGGCTTCTACACCACCTCCGCCGGAGACAGATCCGACCAAATCTTCGGTCTTGTACAATGTAGAGGCGACATTTCTCCAGACAACTGTGGTAGCTGCATCAAGAACTCCTCTGATTTTGCCCTGTCTTATTGCCCTGAAAGCAGAGAGGTTGTGCTGTGGTTTACATGGTGTTTTCTTCGGTATTCCACTGAAAACTTCATTGGGGTTTTGGGTCTAACTTCTGTGGCACTTTCAAATGACACCAATTATGATGACCCATCTGTGGTTTCAAATGGGCTCTCTCTGATGAGTGGTTTGGCTTCCTCTGCCCCAAATCAGCGCCTGATGTTTCAAACTGCTGTGTTGAATGCTGGGCAGAGAGGGAAGAGATATGGGATGGCTCAGTGTACTAGAGATATCAGTGCGAGTGATTGTGCTCAGTGCCTCAACTCTCAACTAGAAACCTTCAGGACAACCATTGGAAGTAAGAAAGATTGGGAAATATATGGATTCAATTGCTTTATGTGGTATCATGATCATCAGTTTTACTTCAACTACAGTGTTTCAACTAGTGCAGGTGAGTTCAGAGTTTGTTCTTCATGGCTTTTTCTTGCTTTGGATTGGCAAGTACGCAATTTTTAAAGCATTTCTTTTGCAATGCAGGTGGAAGATGCCTTTTTTCTGAAGGTGGCAGAACAGTTTGCATATCAATTACAGTGCTGATGCTTTTGATGATTCTCTAGCAGCTGAAAGTTGGCACATTTTTTTCTCTACTCCTTGGCTTGGTCTTTGTTCTTTTGCATTCTTCATTATAGATCCTACTTGTATTTAACTTGTAAAGCTAACCAAAGTCAGAAGTTTCTTTCATTTCTTTTGGTCATTTTCTGTCTTTCTGGATTGGTCTTGGCTACTGCGTTCCATTGTTTTGGTTATTGAAATCGATGTAAACATTCTGTTTATCTTTGTAAATTGGTGAGAAGATGCTTAGTTTTTTGGTTCTCAGCTACTGCCCAAAAGAGACATTCTGCATTTTAGGAATAATGTTGAACTTCTGAAATCTCGTCGTGATGTTTATGTTATACTTGGCTACAATGCAGGAAGTTCAGTACCAACTCTTAGCACTTATATATAGGTAAAGAGGTTTCAAATTTTCACACACTCAAGCTCACAAAATTAATGAGTACACAGTCGAGTAATCGATGCTTCATTCATCGACTCTTGGAAAAAGTTGCTTCCATATCCATCTCATTTGATCTCAATCACATGAGAATTAGACCTGCCTTGTGAAGAAACGTCGGATTGGGGGCTCTTGTTCTTGAGGTCAGCTGGTGGAGAAAGTATTGGGAGAATGACAGAGTCACCACCACTAAGCATGAGAAGTACAGTTTCCATAGTTGGTCTGTCAGCTGAATTTTCTTGAGCACAAAGCAACCCAATGTTGATGCATTTCTTCATTTCACAACTTGAGCCACCTCTGATAATGGGATCTACAACATTTAAGGGTGTTCCTGCACTCCAGTTTTTCCATGCCTACGCCAATTCATTGCAATGAGCACAAGTTTTTAGGTCACTGAGAGTGTAACTGAATGATATGTTTATACTTACATAGCTTAAGAGATCATCTGGATTCTCCCCCTGCTGAAAAGAATTGTTTTTTTCGCCGCTCACGATCTCCAAAACTAGTATACCGAAACTAAACACATCCGACTTGACAGAAAATTTTCCATGCATCGCATATTCAGGAGCCATGTATCCACTGGATTCAAACATTTACAAGATTAACTAGACAGTCAGAGAAGTTAATAGAGGATTCATTTTCAATTCATACTTACTTTGTGCCAACAATTCTACCCATATCTTCTTGTGTTTGATCTTGTTGAAACAACTTTGCCATGCCGAAATCTGAGATTTTAGGATTCATTTCTGTATCTAGTAAAATGTTAATAGCTTTGAGATCTCGATGGATAATTCTAACTTGAGAATCTTCGTGAAGATAAACAAGGCCCCGAGCAATGCCTCCAATGATTTTGTAGCGCATTGACCAGTCCAAACTTGGACGTTTAAATGGATCTAAACATAAAAACAGCAAGTTTTATCAATAAGGACATAATATAGAAATGTCTCAAGATACCTAAACAAAACAGAGCTTTGAAGAATGCAGAGACGGAGGAAAACAAACATACCAAATATGAATTTATCAAGACTTGAGTTCTGCACAAACTCATACACCAGAAGCCTTTCTTTTTCATCGAGGCAGAAACCGAGAAACCGAACTAAATTCCGATGTTGAAGTTTAGCCACTAACAGGACTTCATTCTTGAACTCACTTTCTCCTTGCATGGAGCTCTGGGACTGTCTTTTCACTGCTATATCTTGTCCATTGACAAGCCTCCCCTGTTAAAAGAATTAACGATACACAAATGATGAGTCACCTAACTTAAAGAGACTTTCCATTCAAATATGAAATCCATTACAAATAACAAGTTCTTTCATTCTCACAACCTTGTAAACAGCTCCAAATCCACCTCGTCCAATAATATTTGCATCTGAAAAGTCATCTGTTGCAGCTCTTATAGTACTGATATCAAATACCGAAGTCTCCAGATCTGCAGTGTCATCATCCACTACTACACCTGTAGAACAAGTCAATAGGTAAAATGAAGTGCTTAATTATATCCTTTTGGAAAAAAGCTAGCTTTTCTTAAATGAACAAATGGGTTCTTACTTTCAACTCCATTATTCCTTCTTCTTGCTCTCAAAATGATGAAGATGTTGACCAATAGAACCATTACTATAACCACAACAACAATCGGCAGAACTATGATGAGGACAGTCTTTGATGTCTTAGACTTGTTTCCTGCAGAATCAGATGAACATAAAGCTGAAGTACTGATATAACAAACAAGCTTACCAATAACTTTTCATGTTTGTTAGAAAAGAGAAAAACCTTCCGCATTGGCGGTTGGATCTGGTGAAGCAGAGGGAGGTGAGAGTGGCAAAAGCGGCGGTGGCGGCGGCGGCGGCAACGGCGATGGGAAGGCTCTTGTAACTGCGGTGGAGTCAAAGAAACTATAAACCTCATACCTAATATTACAATTGGGTCTAAGAATTCTGACCCCGACCTTCCCCAAACACCAAGCTTGAACAAGCCCAGCAGCAGTTTGCAAGCAATCGCTGCACTGCGAATATGACATATCCGGCGTGCACTGAACCGTCGCATATAAATTCCCAGAATCTCGAGTCGTGACATTCCCCGCCGCAAACTTCAGCCGCGAGCCCCCCGCCGCAGCATCCCTCGACAGTTCCGCCAGCATGGTCTGCACCACCTGATTGAACTGCTGCAGGTCCGCCGCGTCTTGAATATTCCGCAGCCAGAAAGTGGGATCATTTTGAACAACCCCAAAAATTCTCCGATCCGAATACCGCAACATACAGTTCGGGTACCATATCACCGCTTCCTTTTGAGTGGGACAACTTGGTGGAAGATTTGAAACAGAGTCCGTGAGGCAACTGCGGCAGGCGGCGGGCTTGAGGTCCCCTCTGCAGAGCGCGATGGCATTGACTCTGTGGGGGCTTTTGCCGTAGGAGATGTTGAGGAAGCCGTGGTCGAGGCGGTTGTCGGTCGGAAGAGAGGAGAGGAGGCGCCGGAGATTGGATTTGTAGGTGCTGTTGGCTGTGTAATTGCCACTGCCGGAACAAGAGTATTTGAAACTCTGCTGAGCAACTGCAGGGCAGATTATGATGATGATGATGATGATGAGGGTCACCGGCAAATTACTGAGAACTCCTGACCAGAACATGATTGCTGCCATTGTCAACATTAAGGATTGGGTTATATAACGAAAAGAGAAACAAAAAACTGAAACTTTCTATTGTTGACCATTATGTTCTTCTTTGTGTCTGTTCTCGGGGTTGGAATTGGCAAGTGGGAGGAGAAATTTTGGTCAATTTAAACGCCGATTGTTTCTCTTTTAAAAAATGGAAGTTTTTGATGAATAAAATGCGGCATCTAAGAACTTGAAAGAATCTCGTGGTGTCTAGAAGAATATGGCAATGGAACATGCGGCTTCGGTGTTTGAATTATGTTTATTATGCAAATTATAGGAATATTTAGTTGAATAAATATATCATATACTTGAATTGTTATGGTACATCCATGGAAAATAGATCAAATCTTGAGGTATGTTGACCTCAAATTTGTCAAAATTTTTGGTCCAATTTCAGAGATGACAAATGTATGTAAACGTTTTCCAATTAAAAATGTAATATTTTTTTATAATTTCAAGAGTAGATCATTGTTATTAATTATTAAATTCTACTCGATAATAATTGAACTCTGAATATATTTGCATCAATTTGATTAACTACATATATATATTTTTTGAGTTCAACAAATTCTCAATTTATCAAAAATTTTGTCAAGGAGTTTTTTTTTTTTTTT